CCGTTAGATATAATCATAGTGGGAAATAGGAGAGTCCAGTCCACTGCACGCTCCCCTAGAAGTTAAAGTCGGCCGCTAAAAAATTGCCACACACTGCTTAACTTTCTCACAAAAATTCCAAAAAACAAAGGGAAAAAACCCCATTTTCATGATTCAGGTTTTCTTCAAAAGCTATTAGGGTTTTTTCCCCTCTTCCATTTCAAGAAAATTCTAGGGTTCAAGAATCAATAACAAAAGAAGATGGAGAAGTTGAACAGCATTTTCAAGAAGAAGACTTCACCTAAAGGTAAGATTTTTGTCCCTTTTATTGTTTTTTTTTTTTTTTATCATTTTGTGTTTTGAGTTATGATCTATGGTGAAATTTTTGTAATTGATTAACAGAAGCATTGAGGACCAGCAAAAGGGAAATGGCTGTTGCTACCAGAGGTACTGTTTACTGTCTTGGGGTTCTTTTAAAATGACTCACTAGCTGAGAATTTGATTTAGTTTTGTTTGATTAAAGAGTAGCTTTTTTTATTATTTGGATTATTAAAGGGATGTAACAAATTTAGAAATAATACACTCTAAGCTCATTTGGGATCTCAAATGCATAGGCATTAGGCTTGTCCTTGGGCATTTTGCCGTAACGCCTATTTTCCTTGTTATGCAGAAACGTCTTTCTTTTGGGATGCTATAATAGTGGTTGTATTCTTTTAGTTTGATTTTAGATGTACATCGAACGTTATGCTCTATTCCTTGTTAAGCAAGAGATGCTTAATTTGTTTGGACGTCTAGAAATATATGCACCAGCAAAGAGGAAAAAAACAATTGCACTAGGCGGAAATTTCTGTCTTTGATATTTGGATTTAGCAATACTTAAGCTTATCAAAGGTAGAGGCTAAACTCAAGCAATAGACTATTAGGTATATTAACTAAAGGAAACCCCTTGGAGATATTAGGTTAAGGTTGTTGTGCCTTTGTTCTGTGTAGTTTCTACTTTGCAATTAGAATAACAAAGTTGAGTGATTGTGAAAAGGTTCCATTTTTATGTGAAAAGAGGTTATTGAGATATACTGGTTGAAAGTTCATTAGTAATTAGACAACAAAGTCATGTAATATCTGTAAAGGATTAGGTAAAAATAGGTGGATGGCTCGGCTCTATTACCTTCTATTTCAATTCTCTATGGCGCTGGTGCTTCATAACAGGATATGATATTAGGAAAAATGATATAATTAGTTTTTGGGACTAAAAGGTAGTTCAGGTGCATTGCAAAACAATATAACCTGCAAATTCACAGAGTTGGAAGAAGTGCTATGTTGGCTAAAAACTAGAAGTACTTGTTTCCTTCGCAAGTGACTAGCTGTCTGAACTCAAGTACTTAAAAGTTTTTATTGACTCTTTTATTTACTTTCCGTGTCATTGTTGAGTGTCATTCTTAATTTTGATAAAGCTATCAGGGGTCAGCTGTTTTGCTAAATGAGGAAACAAATTACATATTCCAGGTTTTATATTTTGAACTATTATCATTGTTACGCCATTCTAGTATATTTCACATCATTGTCATTTGCACAAGCAAGGAGTTGGAGAATGCAAAAAGCATTAAACAATTTTTGGAAAAAAAAAATCATTGTCCAGAATGTATCATAGTTGGATGTCATTCTTATTTTTTATTTAGATCATTATCATTTTGGTAAACAAGAAGACAAATTTTCCTTCTAAAAAAAAAACAAGAAGACAAATTTTTATTCCACGTTATCTATTGTGTTGTTATATAGTGGGTTGGAATATGATAACTTGCATTGTCTTCCTCGTTTCTTACTTGGTGTTTTTACGTTTCATTAATTCTTCTCTTTTTTTGTTCATGTATAACTTTAGGCATTGAACGGGAGATCTCATCCTTACAAATGGAGGTAAGTTATTAGGAAAATGTTCATAGACATGAGGCAAGTGTGTTTGTTCAGTAAGTTCAGAGTATTCTTGCGAAATTTAAGTCACGAAAAGTTTAAAGTATTCTTACAATAATCATCTTTTCATCTGTGTAAATCTACTTATTTGTGAACTTATATAATTCTTATTTCACTATCTCGTAGGAGAAAAAGTTAGTTGCAGAGATCAAGCAAACAGCCAAAACAGGAAACGAGGCAAGTGTTTGCTCATTAATTCTTTTTTCCTGACTACTTCACTTGGAATTGTGATCATTCTAATAGATAATGGCTTCTAGTGGGTGCTTATTTGCATTGGAAACTGCATACTTTTTGCATCCCGCTGTTTCTTTTGTTTATCAGAATTTGAAATGCATACTCTTGAGAGATGAGCCATTCTCAGATTGCATAAATCATTGTCCTTCGGAAGAATTCATGCATAGTCACAACCTTGGAGAAAGAATATTTGATAGGGAAGTATCAGAATTTGAAAGACATTGATTTGCCTTTGTGATTTGTTCATTTTTCTTTAGAATAAATGACCTGTGTTTGGTAAGGTCTCCAATTTAATTGAATCGAGCCAAGTACCCACAGATATTGGCGTGATTTGAATATACTTGCCAAATGTGCGAAAGAATTAGAGCCCAACATAGTTTAACTAATTTCAAATTCTTAATGTTCATTCTCTCACCAACAAACAATTCACAAAATTTGTGTATTGGTTTATGTATTTACATAAAATGCTTGTATGAGGGAGGGTGAGCCATGTTAGCTGAAAGTGTTTCAAAATAGAAAGAGAAAGGCTGAAACGAAGCACTTAAAACTGAGTTGTTGAAAAGAAAGGCAGTGCCCGAGACACTTGCTAACGAGCAGGCAGGACTGACTTGAAAGAGAGGCTCTACTTGAGAGGAATATAGTAACTTGATTTATGCTTGCTAAGACTTAAGTTTGAATCTAGGCTAATTAAAGGCTTACAAATTCATTGAAGACTCGATTCAGTTGGTCTTTAAAACACTGATTTTACTCGGTTTAATAAAACTCAAGTTTGAATCAAGGTTAATTAAAGGCTTGGATATTCATTGAAAACTTGATTCAGTTGAAGCTTTGGTGGTAAACATGGATAATTATACTTGTGATCCAGGTGAGAAATGAATGGCTTTTAAAAAAAAAAGGGTGAGGAAAGAACTCATCTCATCTGCTATAAGCAATTTCTTTTTCCTCAAAAGTAAATCTTGCTCACACACTTTGACTTGTCAGGCCGCCACCAAAATTCTAGCTCGTCAACTTGTGAGATTGCGGCAACAAATTGTCAATTTGCAAGGTAGTCGTGCTCAAATTAGGGGTGTAGCAACTCATACACAGGTCAATCTTTTCTCCCGAGTATTATTGTGTATGAAAAGTAATTGAAAATTTTAGTGGATCTTATATGTGGCTTCTTTTCTCTTCTGTAGGCACTATATGCTAGCACCTCTATGTCTACTGGAATGAAAGGTGCAACTAAAGCGATGTCTGCCATGAACAAGGTACTGATTATTTGTTGGTTGTGAGTTTTTTTTCTCTTTTCCTTTTAATCCTCAGAACTTTTGAAAGTGAAATGTTTGTTTCCTACAGCCGAGCAAAAACTCATCCATTTTGTTTGTGTTTGTGCTACCATTTAATTATTAAGGTGTAAATCCCTCCAATTGGTTTATTCTTTGTGTTTTTACTTCTCAGCAAATGGCACCAGCAAAACAAGTTAAAGTGATCAGAGAATTCCAGAAGCAGTCATCACAGTTGGACATGACAGTAAGCACTTTCATCCTTCTAAGCGATGCTTCACATTATTGACTTACTTCATGCTATAAGTTCTCTGTACTTATGGACAAATGCAATGTCTTGAAGGCAACTAAACATTTCAGTTTGATGTGAAGTTCAGACTAAGCATACTAATGAAACTATCTGATTTTTCCAGATTGAGATGATGTCTGAATCCATTGATGAGACTTTGGATAAAGATGAAGCTGAAGAAGAAACTGAGGAGCTTACAAACCAGGTTCAATTATTATTCATCATGCAGTTAGTCTGTTTCCTAATTGTATTTTTCTGGTCATCTATTCTAATTTGTGTTTTCATGTTTAGGTGCTGGATGAGATTGGCGTGGACATTGCATCACAGGTAGGTTTTGGATCAAGGATAGTTGAGCGTATGATCAGTTGCTTTCCTCATCTTTAGTTTGCAAGCTGTTTATTCATTATTGATTTTTATTTTGGCAGTTATCTTCAGCTCCAAAAGGTCGGATTGCATCGAAGAAAGTCGAAAATGTTGCCCCCCCTAGGTATGTGGAACTGTTTTAAATCACACGTCATACATGGATTTTCTTATGTAGTTAAGTTGGATTTTTGTGTGTTTAGACGTGTTGAGCTACGTTTCTTCTGCATTTCCATATCAAACTGTCAGAGTCAATACTCAACAATACTTCCTTTCTGTTCTCTGGTTATAATCTCCTTACTTTTCTGGTCATGACGGTTGTTCTACACTCCTTTTACCTAATGCTGACTATGAAATTTCATTGATTAATGTACTGAGCCCAATCTAGAATTCCTCTACATTCGTTTTTGGCGTGGTCAGAAACAATCAGAAAATAGTATTTATGTTAATATGAAATGGCTCCTAGTTCTTCTAGGGAACATTAAGTTTGCTACTATGTTAGTCTACCTAACAATTCTTCCCTATGTGAATGCAGTTCTGATACTGCTGCGGATGTCGAGGAACTTGAGAAGAGGTTGGCCTCTCTTCGAAGAATTTGATGAACGTGCATATTTGTGGACAACTTTTATATGTGATCCTTGTATAAATTTCGCTTTTAGAATTAAAAATATAGTATGTACCATGGTACCAATTTGTATTTCTCAACTATTTTGCTATAGCACCAAACATCAACATTTATGCTGTAAGAATGAAGTGGATCCTATTTGGGTTTTATGATCCTTCTCCATGTAATTTTTTGTATGTAGTTCCTTGAATTCATTGATATACCTTCACAAGGTAGAGGGAGGTCGTCTACGTACACCCACCCTCCTCATGCCCCACTTGTGGAACTATACCGGGTTTGTTGTTGTTCCTCAAATTTGTTTCACATTTCATATCAATACAAACTTCTGCTACAATACATTACAGGTTATGAAACCAAATGAAAAGCAAAACTTAAAACTTATTTTTACTTTTTTCCTTAAATATTACAATATACCATCAAGCCAAAAGCAGTTCTTTAGTGAATCAAACTTTTCCCATCTTGACCAACTTTGAATGGAAGGATTGGTAGACTCTGTTCATGCCAGAAGAAGTTATCAGGATCAACCTCAGTCTTGACAAGCACAAGCCTGTCATAATTGTTCTTGTAGTACTTTTTCCCCCAGACACTAGCTTCCAAGAAATTTGAGTTGGCATTTTTGTTCATGCCCAAATCAAGATCTCTATAATTCACATAAGCTTCTCTAGGGAATTTGGATACAAAAGTGCCCATGTACTCATAAAGTCCTCTGATCCAGTTGATATGTTTATCTGCAGTTTTCTTATCTCCATCTGTCCAGGATGTTAAGTACTGTATCTTGCAGATAACCCCTTTTCTGTGTGGGAATGGAATTGAAGATTCTGATATCTTCCCCATCATTCCTCCATAGGGATTCCATATCATCATAGGTGAATCATCTTGTAAAAACTTCTCCCACATCCCTTGAAGTCCAGTTACTGGAACTGGTACACGGAGAAAATCCGATTTAGCCTTGAAGTTTACTGTTGGGAATAATGACTTCCCTTGAAGTAGGAACTCAGGTTTAATGTTACTTGGATAACCAGCAATATAAATGACTGATTGAATCCAGCTCATTTCGACACAATCCTTTCGTGTCAATCCCAATTCAGGAAAGCTATGATTCATCACATCAAGAAGCCTATCAGTTTTTCCAAGAAACAAGGCTTGGTAAGCTGTTTGCACTGTTTTCTTCCCTTTTGTTGAATTGACTGTAGTTATGAGGATTCTGATGAAGAGATCTTCATCAATCTTGTGTGCAACATGTTGCCATTTGTTTAAGACTTTTGTTGCACCAGTTTCCAGTGTCTTTGGAACTGTGAAAACTGTCACAGTTGATGGAACAGGAACAAGTCTAACTTTCCAAGCCAAGATTATGCCAAAACTGCCTCCTCCACCCCCTCTGATTGCCCAAAATAAGTCTTCTCCCATTAAGGCCCTGTCAAGAACTCTGCCACTGGCATCAACAATCCGAGCATCGACAGCATTGTCTGCTCCAAGACCATATTTCCTCATCATAGGACCATAAGCTCCTCCAGTGATATGACCACCAATTCCTAAGCTGGTGCATAGGCCAGCAGGGTAACCATGTGTCTTGCTTTTTTCTGCAATCCTATAGTACACTTCACCAATCGTCGCACCAGCTTGAACCCATGCACTGTTGTCCTCAATGTCCACTTTAATCGCACGAAGTTTAGCTAAGTCAAGCAAGATAAAGGACACTGATCTTTTCATCTCTGATGTGTAAGATATGCCTTCATAATCATGACCTCCACTCCTAACTCTAAGCTGAACTTTTAGCTCTTTCGCGCAAATAACTGCTGCTTGGACATGGGATTCAATCAAAGCAGTGAAAATAAGCAGAGGTTTTTGTTGAGAAGGTGTCAAACACCTTAGATTTTGGGCAGTGGATTTAAGGACAGAGTTGAATGAAGTAGCATTGGAAGTAGGAGTGAAGAAAGCTGTGGAGAAAGGGATCGAACGATCCGAATGGAGTGTAATACATTGGTAGAATTGATCTTGAATTGTATATGAAACAACACATGAAGCTGAAAATAGTAATATGAATGAAAATAGAATATTCATAGAGATTGAAGAAGCCATGAGCCTCTCTTGTTTTCTTGCTTGTTCTGTTTTCAACAAGTGTAAATGAGAGGCCTTATATTCAAAATTTTCAAGACCTTTATCCCATGTTTGGAGGATGGGAAAGAGAATAAAAAATTTGGAGGGGAAATGGGGGAGAAAATGGGGCAAAGGAGAAAAATATTCCTTTTGTTTGGGTTGGAAGAGAATGGGGAGGAAAATATGACTCGACATAATTAACTTTCAATTAATGTGGCCTAGTGGTCAATCAAGTGATTGAGAGTCAGGTCTCACGTTCAGATTCTAGTGGAGAAAAAAAAAAAGATTAGGTGATTTTTTCCATCTGTTTTAGCCTTGGTGGATAGAGTAACCTGGTACCCGTTGTTGGTAGCAGATGACAGGTATCTCATGGAATTAGTCGAGGTAAGCAAAAGATGACTCGGACACCATGATCATAAAAAAATGTGAGTTTGGTCCATTTATTGAAGAAATATGATATAGTTGAACTCTTTTTAGAATCATATTATCGTCAAATATGGAGTAACAATACAAGTTTAACATAACATGTGAGTAATTAAGTGGTGAAATGGTTAATAAGTATTGGTAAACTTGTGAATATGCACAAGCAAAGAAATCAAAAATAAACATTTCAATTATTTGAAAGTTAAATATATCAGATATCATAGAAACAATAGAATTTATCAATAACAAAAGCACCAAGAGTGTTTTTTTTATTTCTCCCCTATTAACCTTTTCTTTTTTCTTACTTTTGCTTTTTCCATTTTGCATTATTATATCAAATAAAAGAAGGAAAAGCTTCAAAATATTATCTTTTCCATTTCTTTCCTTTCTCTCCTTCCCAAAAAAAAACAAGTTTTTGGTAGGTAACTTAATGAACAATCATCTCTTTTTAACAAAGGAAAAATTGGAGATTTGTGGAAATAAGTAGTGGCTAGTGGGGTTCATGGGAGTCTAAAACTTAAAGACTTGAAAAAAAAAAAAGAAGAGTCAACATCATATTATATGCTTTGATTTTTGCCTAAATTTTAGGATGCATGAGAGGGCTTCTATTATAAGGGACTTGAAAGTTTATGAAAGAAAAATGGTAGTTTACTTGCCTTCTAATTGGGTTGAAAGACAAATTTGTCAGAAATCTTGCCTTAAAGAATTGCTAAGTAAACATTTTCACTAATAAATATCTACTTGATATAGTTTTTTGAAAATCTAAGTAATAGTCTCCATTCATTTTTACTTATCCATTATATTAGAAATAAATGTCTATTTTTACTTGTTCAGTTTGGAAAATCAAGAGATGATTTATCATTTTATCTTTACTATTAAGTACTATTTCATTTTCCAATATATTTTCCAAAATATTGAATTTATTATTTTCAGAAGATGATATAATAAACTTGTCGTGTTATTTATTGTTTCTTAAAAAAATGTGCCAAGTCAATATTGATCAAGTTAAAAAATGGACGGAGCAAGTATATAATAAAATGTTTTTAAAAATTAAATTTTCAAAAGAATTTTTTTTTAGAAAAAATTAGAATGCATGAAATATCCAAAATAAACCCAAACAACATAAAAGAACAAAACAATGGACCAACACATTTTTTTTATGAGAAACAACAAATTTTAATGAACTAGTAAAGAAAGCAACAGTATCACCTCTTTTTTTTTAAAAGTGAAAGTGGTTTAGTTGTAAATGATGTCAATCAAATCTGAAATCTCTATTTTTGTTTCACATTGTATTTTTTATTTTATTTTTTGGTCTTCTATGAGATAGGAATTCTTTTCTCCTAAAATGAGATGGAGCTATTTTATATTTCTTTATTTATTTAAAAAAATACACTTGAGAAGTCTCTAAGATTAAAACTAAAAGAAACTTGTAAAGCCAAATCATATTGATGAAATAATTGAGTCAATGGTAGGTCTAACAACCATATAAACTTAAATTTTCCTTCTTAGTGTTTTTGCATTGGTGTTTTAACACACAATTCTTGTTTAATTGTTTTGTTATAACTATTTGTGTATATCAAATTTATTGATCCGATTAATAAGATTTGTTATAACTATTTCATATTTAAAGCTTGAATTCGAGATCTTTAATTAAAAAAAGAATTCTCAAGTGTTCTTTTGGAGATATAAATCAAGTTTCTCTGCCTTTTTATTTTGTTTTTTCAAAGATTTTGAAAGGCCAAACACATATGCAGACCCTTAAACTTGTCTCTAAATTTCATTTTGACACTCCAACTCAACCTTGTTTCATTTTAACCCTTCAACTCCAATTTTTATGTTCCATTTTGGCACTTCTAAGTGATGTGGCAGAGAGTGTGCATCACACATTCTCTAAGAGAGTGAAAGAAAAAAAAAGTATTTTTAAAAAAAATAATAAAAGATTACCCTTCAATTCTATTTCTTTTATGTACCATTAAACACAAAATACTAATTTTATGATTTCTTTATTTCTATAATGTACCATTTAAACACAAAATATTATTTTTATGATTTCTTTATTTTTATATATGCTCTTCCACTGCAATTTTGCATTTTAAAAATCGACGATCATCTGTTAATTATTGTAAAAAATTAAAACTGACGGATTATCATTGTTTTTTTATATAAAAAAAGTAACAATTTCTTTTTAAGAGTTTTCCTATATTTTGCGTGAAAAATAACCGACGAAAGTGCGTCGATTTTCTTTCTTAAGAAAAATCAATGACAACCCAACGAAGTCTATCGAGTTTCAATGTTTTTTTGTAGTGTTATTAATTAGCAATGAACATGAGTTTTTTTTTACTCGTATTTAATTAGTTGAATGAAAAATTAGAAAGCTGATATTTGAGTTATTCCAAGTAGACTAGATACGGAAAAAAAAATATGTGATGTTATTTAAATTAACTAATTGTTTTTTAAAAAAAACCAACACACTTTCGCAGATTATATTTTCACACAATAAAGTACAGAAACTCTAAAAAAAAAAAATTAAAAAAAACAATGTTCATCCATTATTTTTTAACACAATAATGACATGTGAAGTACACACATCTCACTTTGTTGGTTCTTTGAAAAGAAGTGCCAAAATGAAACATAAAAATTGGAGTTGAAGGGTTAAAATGGAACAAGGTTGAGTTGGAGTGCCAAAATGAAATTTAGGGACAAGTTTAAGGGTCTGCATATGTGTTTGGCCATTTTAAAAGGAACAAGTTGCATTTTTATTTGGTGTTCTAATTATTTACATGTTCCAATCGACGTGCTATTTTTAAAATTAATTCCCTCTGTTCCTGTTAGAGCCGTCAATATGGGCTAGGCCCGTTGGGCCGGCCTGGCCTAACCCGGGATTTAATAGGGCTGGGCTAAGATTTTTGGAGCCCATTTAAGAAAAGGGCTTTTTAGCCCGGCCTTAATAAGCCTGCTAATTTGTGGGGCTTGAGAAATATAGGTAGGGCCGGCCCGTGGCCAAATAAAAATAATTGAAAAAATATAATATAATATTAAAATTTAAAATTAAAGAGAGTCCACACTCAAAATCTATTTAATATTTAACTAATTGAAACCGCATATAAATTGCAGATGAAAATAAAGATGTTAAGACAACCTTGCC